CCTCCCCCAGGGCTGAGGAACAAACAGGTACCTCCCCCTGGGCTGAGGAACAAACAGGTACCTCCCTCAGGGCTGAGGAACAAACAGGTACCTGTCCCTGGGCTGAGAATGAACAGGTACCTCCCCCGGGGCTGAGGAGTGAGCAGGTACCTCCCCTGGGGCTGAGGAACAAACAGGTACCTCCCTCAGGGCTGAGGAGTGAACAGGTACCTCCCCTGGGGCTGAGGAATAAAACAGGTACCTCCCTCAGGGCTGAGGAACAAACAGGTACCTCCCCCAGGGCTGCCACCCATCATGGGAAGCTCTGGATGTTGGTGGGAGGCTCTGGATGTCCGTGGGAGGCTCTGGATGTCCGTGTGCTCACGTGTCCGTGTGGCTGCGACGTGGCCGGGAAAGGGGGTGGGTGGTTTTCAGAGTTTATTTAATAAAGTCCCTTCCTCCCATCCCTTTTACTGATGTTGTACAGAGAAAAAAAAAAAAAAAACCCTCAGTGGGCAAATGAACCGGGCTGCGCTTGAGTTTTTGGCTGTTTAATGCTGTTCACTGAAACATAATTATGGAGATAAATTTCAGTGCTGCTCGCCCGGGAATCAGAGGGAACCTTAAACTGGGACACACTTCCCTGGGACACGGTTGGATGGCAGAGCGTGGGGGTTGGATGGTTTCCTGTCTAGTTGTGTGTTTGCAGGGCCAGGGGAGGACTGAGCTGTTCCCTCAGGCCTCCAGCTGAGCTCTGGGCTCCCAAACCCAGCCCTTGCCTGGTCCTGGCTCTTCCCACGGGCATGGCTGGGCCCGCAGGACTGGGATGCTGCTGGTGCTGGGAGGAGTTGTCTGAGCTCAAACCTCGGTGTGTAGGAGAAACATCTCTCTCCTGAACTGGAACTGCTTCCTCTGCACAGGCTTTGTCTCTGGGGAGTCCTTTTGGTGCCTTAATTGATTGCACCTTGACACTAAAAAAAAAAAGTCTCCTTAAATCAGTGGTGGGTTGGGCTGGTTGTCCCTGGTGCCACCAGAGCAGGGAGGGAGCAAAGCCCACCTCAGTGATCTGTGCTGCTGAGGAGGGGGAGTTCTCCTTGGGCTGGTGGAAATCCAGTGATTTCTGCTCCTGGATCCTGAGAGGGGAAGGGAAACGAGCAGAGAGCAAAGCCCGTGGGCAGGGTGGGGTGTGGCAGCTGAGGAACAACCCCTTTATCCATTGCTCTGGTGTTGGGTCTGAAGGATAAATGTGTTCCTGGGTCACAGCTCCTGAGGGGGATGTCCCATGGGGGAGGTCACTGGCTGGGCTCTGTCCTCCCCAGGGGATGTGCTCCTGGGGATGGAGGGCACCTGTCCTGGCTCCTCAGCTCCTCAGCTGACCTGTGCTGTCTGTTCTTCCAGGGATAATGTTAGTTCGGGTTGCTCCAAGCCTTGGACAATTCCAGGGATCCAGGGGCAGCCACAGCTTCTCTGCCCAACCTGTGCCAAGGCCTCCCCACCCTCACAGCCTGGAATTCCTTCCCAGTCTCCCATCTCTCCCTGCCCTCTGGCAGTGGGAAGCCATTCCCTGTGTCCTGTCCCTCTATCCCTTGTCCCCAGTCCCTCTCCAGCTCTCCTGGAGCCCCTGGATGGGACTTGGCAGCCGCCTCTTCTCATAAACATCAGGCACCTGAGCCAGGGGCTCTGCCAGAGCCGGGAGCAGCGCTGGGATCGTGAGCTCCTGAGGCTCTGGGAGCACCTTCCAGATCCTTCAGCAGGGCTGATGTCACCTCCTGGCTCATAGAGGACCTGCCACAGGGACTCGGAGCTGTTTTGATCTCGGGTCAGCTCTGGGAGGCCCCTAAACTCTTCTCCTCCAAGCCTGTTTGGGATAGACCTGGACAATCCTTAGGGAAGCAGCGCTTTTGGGAAAACAGCCTTGGCTGCTCCTGCTTTTGGCACCTGTGCTGTGTCAGAGCAGGGCCTGAGGTGACACCGAGGCTGCTCTTGGTGGGGCAGGGAGAGGACAAGAGGGAACAGCCTCAAGCTGTGCCAGGAGAGGGGCGGGTTGGATATTGGGACAATTCCTTCCCTGAAAGGGCTGTGCAACCCTGGCACAGCTGCCCAGGGCAGGGGGGAGTCCCCATCCCTGCAGGGATTTAAAAGCCCTGTGGAGGTGGCCCTTGGGGACACGGGTCAGGGGTGGCCTGGGCAGGGCTGGGGGACAGTTGGGCTCGATGGACTCTGAGGGTTTTTCCAACCCAAATTATTGGTGGTGACAACGGGAGCTCTTTGCTTGTGGGAAAGGGTCACTGCTGGTGTGTAGAGGACCCTTTGGCCCACCCGGGTGTGGTCAGACCTGGCTTGGGAGGTCTCTGGGCTGGTCTCCAGGGGAGTGGCCGGGGTGTCCCTGCCCCAGGTTCTCAGGAATTCGCTGCCTCACCCTCCCAGTGTCGTTCATCCGGTCAGAGCTGGGGCCGTGCTCCAGGTCGGACACTTCAAAATCCACTTCAAAATCCACCCCCTTCCCTCCCCGTCTCCCAGCAGGGACACTGCCCTGCCCCATCCCTCGGAGTGTGTCCCCTGGAGTGGACGCTGGCCCTGGCAAAGCCCCGGTGGCTCTCCCCGAGTCCCGGCTCCGGGGGTTCAGGTTCTGCAGTGGGTGTGGAGTCTGGTCTGTTCGATGCTATTACTGAAATATTTATTGTGTTTGAACCAAACGAAAAACTATTAAAGATCAGTAAAGAATAAAATTTTCCACGCCTTTTACGGGTGTTTGCCTTTCCTTTCTGCTGAAGGTGGGGAGGATGAAGGTGGAGCAGGGAAAGGGCTGCAGGGCAGCGGGCACAGGTGGATTCCTACAGTGACAGGGTGGTCTGAGGGGGGAGGGACCTTAAAGACCATCTCATTCCATGGGCAGGGACACCTTCCACCAGCCCAGGTTGCTCCAGCCTGGCCTTGGACACTTCCAGGGATGCAGGGGCAGCCACAGCTTCTCTGGGCAACCTGGGCCAGGGCCTCCCCACCCTCACAGCCAACAATTCCTTCCCAGTCTCCCACCTCTCCCTGCCCTCTGGCAGTGGAAGCCATTCCCTGTGTCCTGTCCCTCCAGCCCTTGTCCCCAGTCCCTCTCCAGCTCTCCTGGAGCCCCTTTAGGCTCTGGAAGGGGCTCCAAAGTCTCCCTGGATCCTTCCCTTCCCCAGATGAGCACCCCCAGCTCTCCCAGCCTGGCTCCAGAGCAGAGGGGCTCCAGCCCCGGCAGCATCTTTGCAGGACTGGGAGCAGCCCCAGCTGGGCTGGGGAACGTCAGAGCAGCCCGTGTGACCCGGGGTGGCAGCGGGGACAGGGATCCCGGGTGAAGCTGTCCCGGGAGCGGCGGAGGCGGCTCCATCCCGGTGGCAGAGCCTCGGGCAGAGGACCCGAGAGCCCCGCGGCTCTGCCCGTGCCCTGCGCCGCGCTCTCTCCCCCCGGGATAAAGCCAAGGTGTGTTTAAGCGCTGCCCCGTCCTTTCTCAGCCGCTCCACGGCTTCCCCTAAGCGGATTGCTGCGGGAGGTGTAATGGAATTAAGGGATTCCCACCGACAATAGGTTTCGGAGCGCACCGGGCGCCGGCACCCCGCGGTCTGCTCCCACCTTCCCGCGGCTGGTTCCACCATCCCGGGCTGCTCCCGCTCCTCTGAGGACTGCTCCCATCTTCCTGGGACTGCTCTTCCACCCTCCCGGGTTATTCCCACCTTCCCGGGTCGCTCCCGCCCTCCCAGGACTGCTCCCACCTTCCCGGGGCTGCTCCCACTCTGCCGAGACTGCATTTTCCTTCCCGGGGCTGCTCCCACCTTCCCGGCGTTACTCCCACCTTCCCGGGGCTGCCCTCTCCCTCCGGAGCTGTTCCCACTCTCCCGGGACTGCCCTGACCTTCCCGGCGTTACTCCCACCTTCCTGGGGCTGCCCTCTCCCTCCGGAGCTGCTCCCACTCCCCTGGGACTGCCCCGTCCTTCCCGGGGCTGCTCCCACCTTCTCTCCGCTGCTCCCGCCTTCCCGGCGTTACTCCCTCCTTCCCGGGGCTGCCCTCTCCCTCCGGGGCTGTTCCCACTCTCCTGGCACTGCCCTGACCTTCCCGGGGTTGTTCCCACCTTCCCTCTGCTGCTCCCGCCCTCCTGGGAACGCTCCCACCCCCCCTCCCGACACTCCTCCCGCTCTCCCGGGTTTCCCCTTTTCCCCTCCCGGGCTTCTCCCACCTTCCCGGGTTACTCCCACCTTCCCGGGGCTGCCCTCTCCCTCCGGGGCTGTTCCCACTCTCCCGGGACTGCCCTGACCTTCCCGGGGTTGTTCCCACCTTCCCTCCGCTGCTCCCGCCCTCCTGGGAACGCTTCCACCCTTCGGGGCTGCTCCCACCCCCCTCCCGACACTCCTCCCGCTCTCCCGGGTTTCCCCTTCTCCCACCTTCCCGGCCTTCTCCCACTTTCCCGGGCTGCTTCCACCCTCCGTTTGGACCCCGCACAGTTACAGGACGAAAGTACTCTGTAAGGTAATCTCTTTATTCTGGAAGCTGATTAGGAACGAAAACCATCAAACGAGGACTCGGCCCCCTCTGCCGGGCGAGAGGAGGATTTACTGGAGCCAGTGGCGGGACACGCGGGTGTCCCTTTGGACTCGCTGTGTCCGGGACAGCGAATCCCAGAGCTGGTGAGAGCCGGGAACGCTGAGGAAATCCTGCCCCGGGAGTCGAGCTTTGGTCCCTACACTCCCCCCCCCGCGTCCGACAGAGAACGGAGGTTTCCCTCGCCCCACCTTTTCCTATTGATGTATTTACAAAAACATTTTTATTACCCTTTACGGAAGTGGCCAGATTAAGTTCTGATTGAGCTTCTGCATTTCTGATTTCCTTTCTGCGTGACCTAAGGACATCCTTAAACACTTCCTGAGGAGCAAAGCAGCGGGCAGAGTCACAGAGGGGCAGCAGGAATAAAGAGGAATCTGTCACATCTCTCCCTTATCTCAGCTGAGCCTCCAGGTCGGGCTGGGCAGCAGCTGGTGGGTGGAAGAAACTGTTTCTGTCATAAAAAGGACTCGGGGGTGGATTAGATGACCTTTAAAAGTCCCTTCCAACCCAAACCAGTGTGTGATTCCATGATTTTGAAGAGCAAACACCTGGTGGCAGTTCCACCGCAAACGCCACAGGAACAGTCCCCAACGCATTTCAGGGGAGGGGAGGGAAAGAAAAGAGCCATTCCGTGTGTTTTGTCCTGATTTATTGTGGTTGTTACCTCGGTGACATTCATTTGTCAGATGCAATTTGCTCATTCCAACAGCCTTTGGACATCGTGCAGCAAAACTGCCCCCTCCGAGCCCAGCCCCTGGGACTGACCCCACTGCCCCAAGAGCTGCTCCTGCCCACGGCATTCGCCCCCCCTCAGCCCACCCACCACCACTGCTTCACGTTCTCCCTGTCTCCAAACTCAGTCCTCTGTACAGAGCTTTGCAATCATTTTTGTTCCCCACTGGGAGAAATCCTGCGGAGTTCCCCAAGGGAGCAGACAGGTTACGAGGAGCCTGCGGAGACTCCGAGCCCCGTTGGCTGTTTCCTCTGCTGGAAGTGGAATAGAGCGTGTTTATCAGATACAAATCGCTGGCTGAGTAGCTAAAAAGGGATTGATAAAGGCCACAAAGCCCCCCCTCGGAGGAGGAGGGGGTGTAGGATTTGTTAGTGCATTGAGGTGGCATCGCCGGGCACGGGACGGACGGGCACCGCTTACTGGGGGTAAAGCTCCACGATCATCGCGTGGCCCTGCAAGGGGAGAGAGGGAGAGGACGTCACAGGAGTGACTGATGATGAGAGAAAACACTCATCATTACAGACACGGCCCAGGGCTCCCGGCCACAGCACCGGGAAGGTGAGTCACAGGCTGGGCACAATCCCGGGTGTGCCCAGGGGGGCAGGAGGCCAACGGCCCCGGGGCTGTGCCAGCACTGCTGGGGCAGCAGGGCCAGGGCAGTGCCCTCCCTGTGCTGGCACTGCTGGGGCACCTCCAGTGCTGGGCAGCTCTGGGACCTCAGACAGGAGACACAGGGAGGGGCTGGAGCGTGGGCAGGGAAGGGAAGGGAGCTGGGAAGGGGCTGGAGCAGCAGGAGGGGCTGAGGGAGCTGGGGGGGCTCAGCCTGGAGCAAAGGAGGCTCAGGGGGGACCTTCTGGCTCTGCAACCCCCTGACAGGAGGGGGGAGCTGGGGAGGGGTCGGGCTCTGCTCCCAGGGAACAAGGGACAGCCCTGGGTGGTGACGGGGGCCACCCAGACGTGCCCAGGGAGTTGTGACCACCCCGTGCCCACCGCTGGCGTCACCGGAGAGGATTCCACAGCCCCGGATTCCACAGCCCCGGCAGGAGCAGCCACACAATTCCCACCCCTCTCCCGCGGGATCAGTGCCCCAGCACAGCACCATTACCTGTCCCCCTGCAGCACAGGCGGCCACCAGGCCAAACTGTCCCCCCTCCTTCTTCAGCCTGTGGGCAGCAGTGATGACCAGGCGGCAGCCGGTGGCCCCGAAGGGGTGTCCCAGCGACAGGGACCCCCCCCCAGGTATTGAACTTGTCCAGGGGAGGGGCTCCCACCTGCGGGGACAGGGGGGGACACACGTCACAGGGCGGGGAGGGGATCCCTCCACCTAATCCCAGAGAAACTGCTCACGTTGGGATTTGCTAACCCAGAGCTCAGGGAACGTCACTGCCCCTCACAGAGCCCGGCTGGGCAGTGCCAGGAGGGATTCCAGTCATCCCACAGGTAAACTGGACTGCAGAGAAAAGTGGGTCCACAGGAGGCCCTGGAGATGCTGCCAGGGCTGGAGCCCCTCTGCTCTGGAGCCAGGCTGGGAGAGCTGGGGGTGCTCAGCTGGGGAAGAGAAGGATCCAGGGAGACCTTGGAGCCCCTTCCAGAGCCTAAAGGGGCTTCAGGAGAGCTGGAAAGAGACTGGGGACAAGGCATGGAGGGACAGGACACAGGGAATGGCTTCCCACTGCCAGAGGGCAGGGAGAGATGGGAGATTGGGAAGGAATTCCTGGTTGTGAGGGTGGGGAGGCCCTGGCACAGGTTGGGCAGAGAAGCTGTGGCTGCCCCTGGATCCCTGGGAGTGTCCAAGGCCAGGCTGGACAGGCCTTGGCCCAAACCATTCTGGGACTGTGACAATGTCCTGACTGAGCCTTACCTTTGACTTCCTGCCCATGTAGTTCTGTGCAAACCAGTCTGAATCCATGGCCTTCAGATTAGCCAGGATCTGGCCCTGCAAGGGAAGGGAGGGGTGATGTTAACAAGGACAGTGTCAGACTTTGGGGGAAGCCTACAGCCAGTGACAGCACCTGAGAGGAGCTACAGCCACCAAACAAGCACAGCCAGCTAAAAATACTTTACAGGATCAGCCCTGCTAATAAATATCAGCTCGAGGGTCACTAGGAACAGAGCCTGGCCAATTAACAAGCCAATTAACAAATATGGCAACGCACTGGCCAGAGAGAGCCAGCAAGGTGGTCAAGGGGATGAAGCCCCTCTGCAGTGAGGAAAGGTGAGAGAACTGGGACTGTCCAGCCTGGAGAAGAGAAGGGTCTTGGGAGACATAACTGTGGCCTTCCAGTGCCTGAAGGAGCCAGCAGGAAAGATGGAGAGGGACTATTCACCAGAGCCTGGAGTGACAGGACAAGGGGGAAGGGCTTCACACTGCCAGAGGGCAGGGAGAGAGGGGATATTGGGAAGGAATTCTTCCCTGGGAGGGTGGGGAGGCCCTGGCACAGGTTGCCCAGAGAAGCTGTGGCTGCCCCTGGATCCCTGGAAGTGTCCAAGGCCAGGCTGGACAGGGCTTGGAGCAACCTGGGCTGGTGGGAGGTGTCCCTGCCCATGGCAGGGGGTGGGAACTGTGTGAGCTTTAAGGTCCCTCCCCCCTCAAGCCTTTCCATGATTTTATATCCCAGCCCCGTCAGCAGATAATTTGCAGAAGTGGTTTTTTCCCCCCAAAGGTCTTGGGAAAGTAAAATGACTTTTTTTTACACGCTGTTTTAGAAGGATCTGTGTTCCTTTGGTGACTTCAAGCCACACAAGCCACTCTTAACACGGACTGTGTCCACATAAAAATGTTCCAGAGTGAAAACACACACAGTGCTTCTGTTAGACACAAATGTGGGATCACTCCTGGTGACATTCGAGCGAGGTCTCAACCAGAGCCTTTCCCCCCCTGCCAGCAAATGTCCACAGGATGGAATTCCAGACTCAGAGCACTTACAGCAAAGGCCTCGTGGAACTCGAACACGTCGATGTCGTTCAGGGTGAGCCCGGCCTTCTCCAGCACTTTGGGGGTGGCATATGTTGGGCTGGAGGACAGGGAGCACACACAGGCCTTGCCTGAATGTCTCCTCATGGCACTGCCCCCCTGCCACAGCCACAGTGACATCCCCTCTCTGCAGGGTCCATGGCACAGCTCTGCCCATCCCAATCCCACTGGGACACCACCCCTGTCACTCCCGGGGTGCCCCCTCCAACCCTGGGTGGGGGTTCCTGCCCCAGCTGCTCCCCCTCCTGCCCCCAGCTCACACACCAGCAGGGTGGGAAGGCCTGAGGGGACACAGTGTCCGATGGGACACTTCCCAATGGTCCCCAGCACCACCTACCCCAGCAGCAGCTGGTCCTTGGGATCCTGGGACACGTACACGAAGTCCCTGCGCGGGAGAAAGGCTGTCAGGGACAGGGAGAGGGGCAGGGAGCCAGGGCAGGGAGCCAGGGCAGGGAGCCAGGGCAGGCTGCAGAGGCCACGTGGAGCAGCCCCTCTTACCTCAGGTAGGCCTTGGGTTTGTACCCCATGGCCAGGGCCTTCTCCTCGGACATGATCAGCATCGCCGACGCTCCGTCCGTCTGGAAGAGGCGGGAGAAGCCGGGTCAGGGCTGAGGGAGCAGCACCCCCTGCACACAACAGGCCCAGCAGGACACAGGGAATGGCTTCCCACTGCCAGAGGGCAGGGAGAGGAGGGAGATGGGGAAGGAATCCTTCCCTGGGAGGGTGGGGAGGCTCTGGCTCAGGTTGCCCAGAGAAGCTGTGGCTGCCCCTGGATCCCTGGGAGTGTCCAGGTTGGACGGGGCTTGGAGCAACCTGGGCTGGTGGGAGGTGTCCCTGCCCATGGCAGGGGGTGGCACTGGGTGATCTCTCATGTCCCTCCCAACCCAAACCATTCTGGGCTCCCATGAAGTTCAGACTGAAGCTGCTGCCTTCCAGAAGTATCACATCATCAATCCCATCCCGGGACACAATTCCTGTGGGTGCCTGAGAAGGACAAACCCTCAGGAGACAGCTACAGAACAGCAAACAGGGGAGAGAACCCCAAGCTTCAGGGGTTCAGTTATTGATTTCAGAACAAAACAATCCAGTCCCCAAGTTCACCAGATTACAACTGAGCTCTGAGTCGTGCCTGGCAAATCTGGAGGCAGGGACATAAAAAGGGGAATGCTCATTCCCAGACTACACCAGCTTGAGCTACCTGCCTACGGGAGGATGGAGTGGACAGTGTTGCCCTCTGGCTGGCAGTGATGGGAACAGGAATTATTACCAGGAAGGAGGAGTTGGCTGCTGTCACAGTTCCATAGGGCTTGACAAACGCGGGCTTCAGCTTCCCCATCTGCTCCATGGAGGAGGGCCGGATCCCGTTGTCCTTGGTGACTGTGTCTTTGCCTGTCGAGGGCAAAAAGCACTTTAAACTATCAGAATCATGAAAATATACCTGAATTTTCACATCAGGGATTCCCAAGGGGGAAAAAAAAAAAAAAATCGGAAAATTGTGCTTTTTATGACAAGCGGGAAGAGGAAAAAAGGGAAAATCCATTTGTGGCATCAGGATATTTAACATGGCTAAAAACAGTGAAGGTAGCTCACTTTTTCTCCGAAGACAGCAAAAACAAAGTGCTGAAGTTATTTACTGCAAGGAAGAACTACCACAGCTGATAAAAGAACTTAAATTTAGGTTAAAAAAGCCTAAATGGAGAACCAGCCCTAAATCAGTTCACGTTCATGTGCTGAGTTTTGAGGAATTAAGAGCTCTGGGAAGGACCAAACATATCCACCTTCAACTGTGCCAACTGCTAAACAAACCTGTTAACAAAAAGGACCAATTTTACAATGAAGAGCACAAGGAACTGTGGATCTACACGGAAAATCTTCCAGGATATTAACTGTACTGCACCACAGTGTGCCCACATGGGCTGGGGATGAGGAAAGGCCATGGAAAGGACAGTTTAAATCCTCTCCCCAAAGGGTT